CGTTCCTTGTCAAATTCAGTTTTTAACGGAAGCCGGACCTGGTATTTTCCATTGGGTTGTCTGGTGCAGGTACGCTGGAAATGATCTTCACACCATTGTTCTTCTGCTGTTTACCTGATTTGATTGATATCGAAGAAACCCTTTACCAGTGCATCTAGATTAGTCTGATGGCATTGAATGGTTATCACATTTGCCCTTGTTTCATTGCTATGGCCAAACACGATCCAACCTAATTGGATGAGTTAAGCAATAGGTTGATTTGAAGCTCCTTTCCGTAAATCTGGCAGTATCAAATATGGTATTAGATCTGAAGATGCTGACAAGTGTCCACGTTGACATTGCTTCTTGGTAAATGAGAGGTTATCAAGTTGAGGACATACGCTGGTGACACCAGATGGGGAAACCGAGGGTCCGTACATGAGCTTATGAAAAACTCTGTACTAAATCTAAAGATGTTTTTTGAGCTATCACCGATCCCGGTGATCTGTGCTGTGACTCAGTGACTTAGAAGTTCCAGTAACTAAGTGGCACGTTCTGTGATTAGCGAGCCCTCAGAGCCATGATCGTTCAAGGCTCGAATAACTGCAGTTTGTCCGGTGGTGTTATTATGTAGTTGTACTAGAGCTGTGGCCAGCAAAATAGATCGAGTTGACTGCGCGGCAGTGGCCATCAGCACTGTAGTGGAATCGGAAGGTTGAGAAGGATCGGAGCTCTCCCTTGCTGCGTTCTGTGTAATCGGTGATGAGCTGGTATATGTCGTGGGGAAGTGAAGCAGGGTATGGTGACGATGTGTGGTCAATAATTCATTTGCGGGCAAAGCAATCCTTGGACAAAAAATCAGGACATCGCCGCAAAATGTGTTGCCCTTTACAGTTTATGCAAGGTTCGCTGGTTCCAGTCGTGGTGTGGACCGTGCTGCCCTTGTAGAAGCCGGAACCCTGTTGCTTGAGATTTTGGCGTGGATAATTTGTCAATTTGTTGATCGCAGAGCTTTGAGTGAGCTGGGGAAATTTCCGGTTCTCAATGATATTCATGCTGACGAGGCAATTGTTGAGGAAGGTTTCCAAGTCGGGGAAACTCGCAATGTCACTAGAGTTTCCCGAGCAATGTTCCCAGGCTTGTACAGTTGTCGTAGGTAGTCTAGCGATCAAATGAAGGACTATCCATTGCGAGTTAGAATGGATATTCGTTTTGAGACGATTGAACTCGTTGATGCATACGTTGGTTACGTTCAGCATATGTTTGATCCCCGATGAGCTTACCCTTGAGATAGAGCCGCACCAGGGCCGGGTTTTTTAGGAACGGACGTGGCTTTTTGCTCAGCGCTTACAAAGTCTTGATGATTCTTGTTGAATTTCTGGCTTAATACGTTAAGTTTGAAAATTTTGAAATTAGAGTTTTTGAGTTTGAGTTTAAAATTCGCTTCCTCCTTGTCGAAGAGAATGAAGGAGTTAAAAAGGAGAATAATGGTTCCGTGTTGAGATAAGGTTTCCATTAACGACTTCGATGAAAATGTCGGAGATGACCATGGATTGTGGAGTTGTGTGGGGACTGATCCCCTCATTAGCCCCCAAAAATGTTGTGAGAAATAGTTTCATGGGCGGAATGTCAAAGCTGAGCACAGTTCTGCTCAAGGGTTTTGAATCCAAAAGACTAGCCAGAGTTATGCATGGAACTTCATTTATTTATTTACTTGCTAATTAATAAATGTTGTTTATGTTGGCTAGGTTACAATTATTTTTCAATGGGTCAGCTTTAATCCCTGACCTTCTCCATTACTCGGATCGGCATGCTTGCTCTACGGCTCTTCTTAAACAACAACTTTACTAGGGGAGAGACAAGACAAGCAAAGTTTTGCGAAGATTACAGGGAGAAATCTGGGTGGATTCTAAGCTCGCTGAAAATGAAACAATAAATCGAAAAGATAAATAACGCCCGTACAGAGTCCTTGGTTTCAAAAAAAAAAATGTAACGACCCCTACATAACTGGAGTACGGTTCATGTGTCTGGAGTCCCCAATCCGTACAATAGAATTTCTTAACTTTTTCACTTAGAGGTCTTATCTGGGATGCAAATCTTCATCTTCCATCTTATAGTAGCAGTCTCCTACTAATAAACTTACCTAGCTTAACAAATCGTAGATGTAGATGTAGATACCAAGAATTTACTACCACGCCTATATTTAAACATTCCTAATAGAAAGACTAGAAACTTCAGTCCTCTACTGCTTAGCCATTGTAGTTTGTAGACCCTTTTTGGGTCTTAAGCTCGACCTACAATGATTTCTACTCTATAACATATCTTTCCTGTCTTTCAAATTTAAAATCTAGTATTTTAAATTTGCTTACTAAGTCCTCTTAGCTTAACAAATAAAAAATAGCTTTATAAATAATAATAAATTGTTTCTCGAGCGCCCATCGGTCGTCTGGGCCTCTAAGCTTCATGATAAATGCAGCAATTCTAGCTGATGCTCTAATTGATGCACAACCGCAAAAAAAAAAAACAAGAAAGGAAAGCTAACTTCGGGCGGAGCCGAAACCGGATATATATCGCAAAGATCGGATAGAGTTGGCCGATCCTTATCACTAAAATAAAAAATCCCTCTGCAAGGGTATAAAAATTAAAACTTCAGTTTGGAATCCAATTCAATCCAAGTCCTTACGGTCGTCTGGGCCTCTAAGCTTCATGATAAATGCAGGAATTCTAGCTTATGCTCTAATAAACCATTTCCAAAATTCTGAAAGACCGCAAAAAAAAAAATTAAAGCTTCAGTTTGGAATCCAATTCAATCCAAATATTGGCCAATTAAAGGGAGGAAAACGGTGACGAAGGTATTATACAAAAGTATATAATGCTGCGGCCTTGCTGGAGCACAGTCTTTGGAGTCACGGCTTGGAGTTTTATGGTCCGCTGGAACGAGCGACAAGTTAAGTTTCAGTAATTTTTCGCGCGACAACGAATGAGGGATAGCCCAGCGAAAAAGTGCTTGGCTGAGGTGCAGAGTAGAACGAGTTCAAGTCAGGCTCGGGATATTCACTTTTTTTAAATTTTAAATCTATTTATATTATATTTTTATTCTTTTAATGTGTATTCCAAAATTTATAAACCAATAAAAAAAAATACAACATTTTATAATCACCTTAACATCGCCTTAGTTCGTAGTGGAACCCGTTGTGAAAATCTCTATAAGGGCGGGTTCTACGGCATATTGGCAGGCCGCGTCGTGGAACTCGATGTAAAAATGAAAACATTTGAGAGCGGGTTCCACGACGAACGGCTGGCAGATGAGAGAGGGAAAGAGAGAATTCTATTTTTAGAACGTAACATGTTTGGAACGATTAAAGATTGAAACGTTCAAATTGAACCAGTGTGAGAGCCAACAGATCAGAAATATCTTCTACTATCTTTACTTTTCAGCTCTGTTTTTGGTATGGATTCTCGCGCTTACTTTAAAACTAATTTTAAGTATCATTAAATCAACTTGGAGGGTAGCCTAGATGGAAAGGGCGCGATACTTATTCTTGGGGTCGTGGGTTCGATTCCATTAGTGGGCGGTGGTTTGATTTTTTAGAAAGCTTTAGTTTTATGATTATTTTTATATTTATTTTTCTTTTTTTTTTTGTTTAACTTATATTTTTTGTTTTTTTTCTTTTTTTACTTTTATTTTTTATTAATAGTTTTTTTTTTATTTTTTATATGTACTTTATTATTATTTTTAATTGCATTCTATTACAATTGTTGTAAAAACAAGTGACGGACGTGTCGGATGACGATATGCCGGACGGACTCCCTTGAAATTTTATTAGCCGAACATAATGTTTAATTACTAACAATAATTTAATTCTAATACATACTAATAATTTTTTATTATTATTAGTAATTTTTAGTAATTAATTTCTTTAATAATACTACAATTAAAGAACAAAAAAAAAAAATAATTATAAAAGAAAGAAAAAGTTCATAGTCCTTACGGTGATGAGCATCAACGGGCGTTGCTAGAGAGGGACTGTGGGAGTATGGCAATTTGTAAAAAAAAATTTTCAGTAGCGGGTTGTTATCAGCATTTATTTTTGTCCGTCTTGTTCCCAGTTTTGCGTGCACTTTGTTGCTTATTGTAGAACATGCGCAAATAGATAATAAACCTGAGATTTATTGGTTTAAATAATTGAAATCGAAAGCCACGAAAAACGCTAGATGGCGCTACAATAATTACTTTACAACATTTTTGAGTAAAAGAAAATTTTAATTCCTATTGATGTAGCCCTATACAAATATCACAGATTCAAAATTTACACAATTTACAAATTCACTACTTCAGAGTAAACAGTCTTTCACCTTATGAGTTTTCAAAATCATTAAACTTTAAAGCAGGGGTGCCCAATCTCTGCTAATGGCAGAGCAAACTCCAATACAAATGCAAAAAATCACCAATTCATTGGTGTAAGAAATTTTTGTCATTTCATGCCGATACGCTGAAAAATTATTGTGAATTCAATCAAAACAAAATAATTAATAAATGGTTTATCGAAATAAAATACTACTATATAAATAATAAAATACGGATTACAAAATAAATTAAATGGGGAAAAAATTAGAAACAGAAAACTGTAATTGATTTTTTGCAGTACAAATTTGACAATCCAACAAAAAAATGCAATCGGATGTGCACAAATGAAGAGTTGCTTTTCCTATGTCAAAGATCAATCCAATAACAAAAATGTTTGAGCACCCCTGCGAAACTATAGCGTTTTTAGGTATAATATTTGGATTAATTGATACATAGATTTGAAAACAATTTGCCATACAAATCTGTAACTCGGTAAAAATACGATAGTTTTAAAGGACACATGCGTCAATTTTTTTATATTCTTTTAAGAAATTGTGAAGGCAACATTGAGACATGATGTATCGGCAACAAAAATATACTACATTTCAATACAATGTAAAACTTCAGATAATTGTCGCATATAACCTAACAAAAAGAATTACCAACTTTAATATCTAATAAAATATACATTTAATTAATACAAAAGAATTTAATATTTGAAACGGTATAAAAGGTAACAACAATTAAAGGTGAAGGACCCTTATCAAATTTAGTATTCTGACATCTAGCACTTTTCATGTTATATGTATATATACAGTTAACGGACACATACATATAAAATTCGCTTATATATATGGTTAGTCAAAACTCAAACGGTAGTTCCATAAGTTCTATTGCAGCATTAGAGCGTTTAAATTACGTTGTAGAATAGTATCTTTAACTGAATTAAAGACTATATGTATATTCTGGGTATCTATGGCAGTAGTAAAATGATGATAGATTGTACTGGAGCTACATGTGCGACGAACGCTCATAAACATTTGTAGAATAAAATTTTGGACATCGAGAAGTGAGTGTGGATTTCCATTAAATTGCGGATAATACCAGCGAATGTCAGTCTCAGGATTGCGTACTTTTTGCTCAAGTAAGTCTGTTTTGTTCATAAAAAGAATTATTGAAATTCCTTTAAATGTGTTGTTGTTGACAATGGTATCAAATATATTTTTAGATTCCTCTAAACGATTAGTTTTTCTGAAAAAAATAGATGTTTAGATGTAGCATAGGATAAAACAATTTACCTGTCTTCCGCAAGAACCTGATCAAACTCCGAACTAGACACAAGAAATATGATTGATGTTACGGAAGTATCGAAGCATTTCGTCCACTTTTGACGCTGTGTTCTCTGTCCTCCCACGTCAACGAATACGAATGGAATGTTCTGACAAAAAAGTAATTATTTTTTTTATTATTAGAGAATAATTACGAATTTCCCACCTGTATTTTAACACAAAATTCATATACACCTTTGGTTGCTTTCCGACAATGCAATATATCTTTATGTGTCGGCACATAGTCTGGTTTAGACAGCCGTTCAATATCGTCTAAAAAATAACTAACTGAATCGCTCTAAAAAATATTATTTTTAAAAATGTAGTCTAAGGTAAAATAAATAAATTGTGGCTTACAATTTGAAATTCTCGACGTCTTTCGAAAGCTCTTCGAATGCCACGATCCTTCCATAAACGTTCAATCAGTGACGCATATTCCAAAAATTTAAGAGCCTCTATTGCATTGCATTCCAATAATTTGGTATAATTTATGTCGAGTTCTAGACCATCAGTGCCCCACGATATATTAAGTTTTTTTCGAGCATCCAAAAGCACTTGCATACCTTATTAAAAGGTTTAAAATAAATAAATAGCATGTTGAGCCCGAAAGTGTTAAAAAAAAAACCTCACCTCTTACAATATTTTGGTATATCACATGTTTGTATTCGCGCAGCAGATCGGGATCAAAATTAACCCCATGTATTATACGCATTTGTTTAAGAAAAGTTGACTTTCCAGATTCCCCAGCTCCCAAAAGCAAAAGCTTCACCTGAAATGAATTAAAAAAAAATAAATATAAAACAAGAAAGGAAAGCTAACTTCGGGCGGAGCCGAAGTTTATATACCCTTGCAGTTAAAACTGGATATACATCGCAAACATCGGATATAGTTGGCCGATCCTTATGATTACATCATAATAAAACCAATTAATTACAATAAAAAATCTAAAAAAAAAGTCCCAAGCTTCTATCTTCAAAGATACGAAAGTTGATATTTCTACCAAATACCATTTCCGATTGTTCAGTTATATGGCAGCTATAGGATATAGTCGGCCGATCCTAATGAAATTTGGTAGGTCGAATTAACTGACCAACTGACCAACTGACAAAAATATAATCTGTACCAAATTCCAGCTTTCTATCTTCATAAACACGAAAGTTGGGTCATTTCCGATCGTTCAGTTATATGGCAGCTATAGGATATAGTCGGCCGATCCTTACGAAATTTGGCATGTCGTATTATTTTGCCAAAAATAGCTATCATGTAAAATTTGAACTCTCTAACTCTAAAAACACCAAAGTTATAACATTTCCGATCGTTTAGTTATATGGCAGCTATAGGATATAGTCGGCCGATCCGGGCCGTTCCGACTTATATACTGCGTGCAAAGGAAATAAGGGTGTGTGCAAAGTTTTAAGACGATAGCTTTAAAACTGAGAGACTAGTTCGCGTAGAAACAGACAGACAGACGGACAGACGGACATGCTCATATAAACTCAGGAGGTGATCCTGATCAAGAATATATATACTTTATAGGGTCGGAGATGTCTCCTTCACTGCGTTGCACACTTTTGGACAAAATTATAATACCCTCTGCAAGGGTACAAATATAATAAAATTGAAATAAATAAAACACTCAACTTCCAAATGGAGGCTGTTTTGGTTTAAAAAATGTCGCGCTATCATACACCGTACATAAATAAAACCGTGAATAAATAATCGGTGAAATAGTTTGGTATTAAAACTTTTTCCTGAAACTTAAATAAACTGATAAAGATTCCCAAAAAATAAAATGAGTAAAAAACAAGAAAGCAAAGCAAACTTCGGGCGGAGCCGAAGTTGATATACCATTGCAGCTAAAACCGAATATATATCGCAAACATCGGATATAGTTGGCCAATCCTTATGATTACATCATAATAAAACCAATTAATTACAATAAAAAATGTAAAAAAAAACAAGTCCCAAGCTTCTTTCTTCAAAAATACGAAAGTTGATGTTTCTACCAAATACCATTTCCGATCGTTCAGTTATATGGCAGCTATAAGATATAGTAGGCCGATCCCTATGAAATTTGGCATGTCGTAATGTGTTGCCAAAAATAGCCCTCCCCTAAAATTTGAACTCTCTAACTTTAAAAACATCAAAGTTATACCATTTCCGATCAATCAGTTATATGGCAGCTATAGGATATAGTCGGCCGATCCGGGCCGTTCCGACTTATATACTGCGTGCAAAGGAAAGAAGGGTGTGTGCAAAGTTTCAAGTCGATAGCTTTAAAACTGAGAGACTCTCAGTAAAACTGAGAGACAGACGGACATGCTCATATCAACTCAGGAGGTGATCCTGATCAAGAATATATATACTTTATACTTTATACCAAAATTATAATACCCTCTGCAAGGGTATAAAAAGAGCTCACCAAATCTCTCTTTTCCATTTTTTTTGCTAACCTTTTGCCGGGGAACCTGCTCTTATACGCGCTCTCATACCCGCTCTCTTTTATTATACCCTTGCAGAGGATATTTTAATTTTGGTCCAAAAGTGTGCAACGCAGTGAAGGAGACATCTCCGACCCTATAAAGTATATATATTCTTAATCAGGATCACCTCATGAGTTGATATGAGCATGTCCGTCTGTCTGTCTGTTTCTGCGCAAACTAGTCTCTCCTTTTTTAAAGCTATCGACTTGAAACTTGGCACACACTTTTCTTTTCTTTGCACGCAGCTTATAAATCGGAACAACCGGGATCGGCCGACTATATCCTATAGCATCCTTATAACTGATTGATCGAAAATGGTTTTTGGTAGAAATGCCAACTGTGGTATTTTTGAAGATAGAAGCATGGACATTTTTTTCTTTTTATACCCTTGCATAGGGTATTGTAATTTTGATCAAAAGTGTCAAACACAGTGAAGGAGACATCTCCGACCCTATAAAGTATATGTCGGGAAACAGTTAATTCAGGAAAGTATAGAATGCGAAGGGCATAGCAGCAGAGACGGTGATAGTCTCTGCTGAGGAGTGAGGTCCGTTGACGAGTTACCGAAAGTCGTGAGATGAAAAGCGATATAGGCTTGACTCGAGAGAGAGAGAATGCTGCGAAAGCAGGGTTGAGCGTAATGATCGAGGAGAGGAATCATTCTGGCGGCTTGGGTAACGAAGGTGAGCGGAACTCGCTATGCTGTCGCATAAATAACAAAAGTTTAAAGGACAATGGAGGATATTTCTGGTTATCCGTCATATATATATTCTTGATCAGGATCACCAGTAGTTGATATGAGCATGTCCGTCTGCTGTCTGTTTCTACGCGAACTAGTCTCTTTAAGGCTATAGACTTGAAAATTTGCATGCAAGTTATCCAACCCCTAAATACAGGCCACTTATGGCTTTTATAAACAATATTTTCAATCTCTGCATTTGCCTTTGGCTTGATCTTTGGGTCAATTATCCAACCCATAAATCCAGGCCACTTATGGCTTTCCACTTATGAATTTTATAAACAATATTTTCAAACTCTGCATTTGCCTTCGGCTTTGTCTTTGGCTCTGAGGTCCGATCTCGGTTCCCCATAAACAAATCAAAATCAAAAGTAAACATCAGCTTCCCTCCGAAGCCCAATCAATTACGCCTTTTGCGTTTCAAGCACCCACCAAATTGCATCGATCAGCTTAATCGAATTTCACAATAAGATGCGACAGTTTCATCTTAAGCCTCTAATCTAAACACAACTGATGGCCGAGGTTCTTTGGATCAGATTTAGAATTAAGAAGTCAGTCGTATTTTGACCGAGACCGCGAACGGTTGACAAAAGTATTTAAGAAAAAACCAAAAGTGTCTTGTAATTTTTGCGTTTAATAAATAAAGGTTTAACACCAAGTTGTGAAATTAAAAAATAAAATTTTCATTTTTTTAATTCACCGAACTACAAACAATTTAACTTGCACCCTTTTTTTCATTGCCTGCAGTATATAAGTCGGAACGGCCGGGATCGGCCGAGTATATCCTAAAGCTATCATATCATATCATATACTCTATAGGGTCGGAGATGTCTCCTTCACTGCGTTGCACACTTTTGACCAAAATTATAATACCCTCTGCAAGGGTATAAAAAGGAAATTTGGTTGGAACAAGTTTTTTCCATAGAAAATATAGGTGGGGACGCGTAGTTTTTCATTTGTTTAAGAACTGTTGCTGGAAATTTTTTCTTTAATATATAAAGGCAAGTGTCCATTCAAACTTCTGAATTAACGAAAAACGAAATAAAAAATAAATGTTTTTTTGCTCAGTGAATTCCCTGCTCTCATTGTTTTTTGCACTTTTAGCACACACACACACTAAGCACACTTAAGAATGTGTGCGTTTTGCCCACCACTTTAAAGAATAAACAAATTGTTGCATTTGTGTTAAAATCCTCAAAATTAAATTTTACTTCACTCTTTTCGGTCCGAAGAGTTTGTGAGATGACTCTGAGGATGCCTAGCTTAGGGCTACCCAACGGGTCGCAGGTTGCGGAAAGCGCAATAAATTTATAGAACGTATTTGAGAACGTATGTAGAATAATTTGAGAACGTTTGGTCATTCCTTCATTTTATTCGGGTATAAAAGTAGTCAAAAGTTTATAAACAAAATTTCCGCGATGCCTAACTAAAGGACACTGAATTTTAAAAGTGAATTCGCATGGATTTCTCAGATACCCAGAGTGCCTATTGTGCCTAATATAAATACAGAACAGGCGCCAAGCTTTTTGATATTCGTTAACACGCGACTCAAAAAAACATGTGGGTTCGATTGTCGCAAACATTAAACGCCATTTTTTATAAAACGCAAGTTTTATATAAAATCAATTTAGTAGAAATGCCAATTGCAAAAAATAAACTGCATTATTTTTAACAGGTACGGATCACGCAGATACGAAAAATGCTGCCATAATAACACTGTTCCAAAAAAATACTTGATTCAAATTACTGGGAATAAAAAGTATTTGGTAACCGATGAAGCTGAAGATCTCAATAGTATTTTATGTATTTTTTAATGTTAATATAATATAATATATGTTTAAGTAAGTTTAAGTTTGAATGAAATGTTCCTTTCCTTTTATGTAGTAATATATTTTATAGCCATATTTAAAAGCGTTTTTAAAAGCCATATTTAGCTTAATTTTCTTAATTACATACAGAAATAAACATTTGGATCATTTAGCAATTTTTTTTTGGCAATTTTCAGATTTTAGCCATTTTTAGCAATTTTTTTTTTAATTCTAGCAATTTTTGCTCCAGAGATTCTGGCAGCACTGTCTGGGAGCCCGGGCTATAAACTCTGCGCAGTCGCTGTCCGAAGAAGCCATACCCGGGAGTTACGGATCTCACGGTCAAGGGACACCAACATGGCAGCGTGGAAATTATGTCGGATACCTAAACTCACGCCAGTCTGTTCTAGTCTTGGCTTATATCCTCAGTTAAAAATGGAAGCCCATCTAAACCTCTTCCGATCTGTGGGATCCAGGCACCCGGTTGTATAACGCAACTCCACGTCGAGCCCGAAGGCTCTACCCGCATTTGGGTATTAAACCACAACCACCACGTAGCTTCCTCAACTTTAGTCAGGACGGAACAAGTTTCGTGGGCTCTGGCTCTGAGGTTAAAGTACACTTCCAATTTTGACTCCAGAACACTCACGGGTTGGTGGCCCCGGATAGAGTAAAGCAAAGCTGCTTGGAATAGCATTATGAAACGCCCGAAGCCAAGTCATAAGGTGTTACAGTCTTA